TGACCTGATCTGATGAGAAACAGTTTTGCTATTATGTTTAGCACTTTCCCAGATGGACAGAATTAAACTAAATAGGAAAATACTAGCAATGAGATACACCAATTGCTGTCATAAACTATGATTGAAAATAATGTTACTTTGAAGAGACAAAAATAAGATCATTTGAAGAGCATTTTGACCATAATCAAGTACAATAACAATGGTAAATCCATGTGAATATGAGCTAAATCCTGGATTTCTTCTTCTTTTTTTTTTTTTTTTTTTTTTTTTTTTTTTTTTTTAAAGCAATATCAGTGAATATAAGGGAAGAAAATACAACTGACACTTTTCAAAAGTTTTTTCTTTTTTTTTTTTTTAAATGAGATGTTGCTGGAAGATACTTCATGTGTAGTACAAAATTTACTAAGCTGAATAAAATATCTTTGAAACAGTAGTGCATCCAACTTATGAGCACATGTATGAAATATGGGATTCAATTATTTGGAATGTTAACTAATGTTTTCACAGTGTCCATGTTCTTATTGGACTAGAATTCTTGATAGCATGTCCAGGTATAAAATCTTCATGGAAAGGTAAGGAACCAGAGTGTCCAAGGATGCTAATACAATAAATAGAAATGGTAAATGTTACCTAGCTGAATTTTAAATCTGTAATCACTTAATTGATTCTGGTTAGCACTTGAACTTGGCTATGCTTATATGCAGATCTCTTATTCTCTTTGGCTCTTTGTTTATATCTAGGCCACCCCAAAAGTAATCACAGAATCGCAGAATTGCAGGGATTGAAAGGTTCCAACCTCCTTGCTAAAGCAGGTACTCTACAGTAGGTTGCACAGATAGGCATCCAGGTGGGTCTTGAATATCTCCAAAGAAGGAAACTGCACAACTTCTCTGCGCAACTGCTTGCCACTGCACACTACCTAGAAGAGCACAGCCTCATCCATTTACCTCCCACTTCCCTTTAGATTTTTATATATATTAATCAGACACCCCCTCAGTCTTCTTTTCCTTCTGCTGAAGAGACCCGTGTTACTCAGCCTTTACTTGTAAGGGAGTTGTTTGGATACTCCTTACTCCAAAAATATCAACAATCCGTGTTATTGGAGCAGTAACTCTTTAACTCCCAGTGCACTATGTGATGTTACAGTGTGGAATACTAATAACAAAAAATCATAATACCATGACACCAGTATTATAAGCAGCCTTATTTTTCTAATCATTAAGAGTACATGATCCACTTATTACATAAAAAGCCCAAATAGTATAGCTCCAGAATATTCAAATTGTATTTAAAAAATACACTCTTTTTCACTCTCACTCATAGCATTGTTGTTTGCCTTCTAGACTAATAAATAATGCAACATCCTACTACTTTCTGCAGTCACCAAAACTTATAGCTACATATTTTTTTCTTTGGTACCCCCCATGCTATCCTTAATGAAACAATGCTGACCTGTATACAGGATGTGATTTTTGGAGTGCTCTCATTTCCTAGATATCAATTTCTAGAGGAACTGTATTCATTATTTTGATAACAGACTCTTGATTTCATTGCATTTTACTTCTATTATTAATACATTCAGGCAAGTATATGAGTTATGGGAAGTACATAAGTCTTTCTACAGTCTGCTCTACATTTTTCTTTTTTATTCTTGGATGATGTTTTCTGTCTTATTCCGATTTTCAATTTGTATTATAGCAGAAATATCCTCAAAACATGAGAGATATAGAAACACCAAGCACCATTTTTTTCATTTTTCTCTTACATTTCTAGAACAAATGAAGCCTACAGAAATAGCATGCAGCAAATTAGTATTACCAAATCTTAATTCTAGACTGTGCTCAACTGCTTAGCTACTTGCAAATCCCATGTGGTGAAGAGTGTTTGTTAGTACTTCTTTTATTAATCAATGACATAAAAATCTGGGAACTGCTAGTACTTCTCTTTTACTATCTGCTTTTGGATAACATCTGTGAACACAGTGATGTGCCTGTATATCAAATTGCAGGGAAGAGCCTATGCATAGACTGTCCTTCATGAGATGCATGAGTGGCAGATGAGGTCTTTATTCTGCAATGATTCTACAGTCAAGATATTTGTGATTGGGACACTGAGCAGATAGCAGGGTTAAGTGGTGTTTTCCTTTCAGTTTTCAAGAAGCCCTGAATATTAGTTTCCCTAACCGCACTTCATATAGGGATCACTAGCCAGACATGTCATGCCATAGAATTTCTTACCGTTAAGCGTGTTCCATATTGATAGATAATATTGAGACAACTCCCTTGGTATCATTTCTGCATTTGTTGTATGTTCTTGACAATCTAATGCACTTAAACTCAGGTATATTTAGAAGGGATATGACTGAGCACAGTTTCTCAGCAATAGTTTATTTTCATACTGCCATACTGCCAACAGCTGTTCTTTATAATCCACATGATGTCAGGACTAATAATATCCACGCAACCATGTGAAGTGCTTTAATATCCACAAGAGGTAGAATTTGTACTGGACAGTGAAGCAGCAGTAGGGGCTGAAGGTGTTGAAACATACACTATAGCCATATAGTCATTCTGAGGTCAATGGTTTGGAAAAGAACCTGTGAATGAATTCATAATTAAACAAAAAACAGTGAGTATTTAATTTTATTTATTTTTTATTTTTAGAATCTTCACTTCTAGTTGATAATCATTTCTGGGAGAGAAAATTAGGATCTGTCATAGGTCTGAGAGAATTGAATAAAAAGCTTCCTGACACTGTTTTTCACACTGCAGTCTGTCAACTGAAAAGTACCTAGAAACAAGATTTAAGTCTGCAATAGTTTTCAAACACATAATTACAGGGATTGGTAGTGACCTCCAGAGATCGTCGAGTCCTGATGCCCTGCTAAACCATGTTCCCTAGAATAGGTGATACAGGAAGGCATCTACATTGGTCTTCAATATCTCCACAGGAGACCCCACAACCCCTCTGGTCAATCCGTTCCAGTCACCATTACCATAAATAAGTTCTTTCTTATGTTTGTATGGAACTTCCTGTGTCTCCATCACACAGTAATGCGCATGGAAGGTTGCTCCCTTGTGTGGATGAGAAAGATCCAACTGGGTGTTTGCATTTTGCCAGGAGAGATGCACTAGGATTTAAAGTCCTTGAAGCTCTGGGAGCCAAAAGATTATTCAAGTTTTCACTGGTCCTACAGGGGCCCGAATTACCTTCAATACCACTTTTGGTGCTAGAATAATCTCAAAAATCTTTCTTACTTACATGATTTATTACTGCATTTCCTTGTGCTTGCTGTATATAAGCTTGTTTTTGTAATAGTCTTTTCTTGCTCGGTCATGTGACCTTGTTTTTCTTCTTCTAATATATAATCTGTCAACTCGTTTTTTCAGTTAAAAAGGGGAAAATCAGGAGATAACAGAAGGTAATGTGATAAGCTGCTGGAAAAAGAATTCAGAGTAGTGCAACTAGACATGGAGGTGCTATAGCTAATGTGGCATCATTTTTAAAGCATTTATTTTCCTTAAATACTGATATCATAAATATTGATAAATTTATAGTTCAGTTCTCAATGCGTTATTTTTGATAAGCAAATATTTTTGATAACTAACTACACACTGATAACTTATCGGAGCTGAGGGTACAAAGTTCTGGGATTTATTAGTAGTTTATTTTCAGCTGGCATTCTTAGACATTGCATCAGCAGACAGAGCAAAATACTGCTGTAGCCATATCACTAAGAAAATTACCCATGTTTTTTTTTTTCCCAAAGGAAAATACTGCAAATCCTGACTTCTTTTTCGAAATTTGAATCTTTCAGGAGATTTGTACGTAATGCTGAAATAATATTTAAGTACAATCATTATCTTCAGCTAAAAATAGGGTGTTATAAAGGGCCAATGTAGTTGTAAATGTCTTGAGTTTTATGTGTATTTTGTTTCTTCTTCCAATTAGTCCGTCACAGAATAAGGTAATTACTTTGAAAGGTCATTATTATAACAACATTTTACCGAGGAAAATGGACTTCAGTGTCTACATTTGTCTCGTTTTTCTATTTAGTTTGGCAAGCACATTAGTACTGCCGGAGTTCAAGCATATCACATAGGTTATGTGCTTTTGAACCCCTGAGAAGTTAATGGTGTAAGCAAATCTCATCCTTTTTATATTTGTAATCATCCATTAGTTAGTGATACACTGTTCTCTTTTTTAAACTAAGGGAAAAACTATGGTGCATATGAATAACTATATTCCCAGTAATATTCTTTATGTTTTTGTTGTTTTGGTTTTGAAGGTAGTAATGCTCCAAAGTATCACATGTCCTGAACTTTGTAAATATATCTCAGTAGTAGAAGAATGTTGAGATTCTTTTCTTCATTTATAGTTGTAAGACAAATTTGTTCTTTATTGGCTTGTTAGTTTGTTGTGGTTTTAGTCTTCAGTTACTCAGTAATTTAATTTGAATTTATCCTCTTGGCTGTTTACCAGCACAACACAAAAACTTGGTTGGCATTTTTTCTCCAAAGGTGTTTAGACTTGCTTGAATTCACAGGATTGTCTGTATCTGCATTTATGTGGATCTGTGTTTGGTGACAGCTAGGCTACTAGGTTCATTTTTACGCACAGTAAACTGAGTTATAATCAATACTTATATCACCGATGACCAGTACCTATTTTGTTTACTCAGTTAATATCTGAATTGCTGCTGTTGTGATGGATGCAGGGGTTAAAAAAAAAAAAAAAAAAAAAAACTTAGAAAAATCAGAAAATAATGAAATGGACTTCTTTGTGGGGAGCTTTTGACATTTCTGTGTCATCTTTGGATGCATTAATTTGTTTATGCTGCAACTTTAGAATGTGTTATTGAAACTGCAACATATGACAAAGGAGATTTGAATTCATTATTTAAAAATAATAATCTGACGCTATGCAAAACAGCCTTTTCCAGTTAAGACTGAAGTAAAAGCATGAAACCTGTTTTAACATCTATTTTGATATTTTTGTAGGATGGAATAAAAGATGAATGCTCAGTGCTGAAGCTGCAGCTGAAGGAGAGAGATGAACTCATAGCCCAACTTCGTGAGGAACTGGTAAGCAAGAGAAACTACTTCAAAAAAAAGTTTGTTTGCCTGATAATGTCATTCACTAATACCAAAACTCAAGAAATATATTTTCACACCTACTGCAGAATAACTAGCCTGAGGCTACATTAACCAGATAACACTGGCTGTGCACTTCTAGAGACTTGTCAGCCTCTGAACTGGCTACTATTTAGAGACACTGCTAGTAGAAATTTCCTTCAAAAGATTGTTTTGACAGTTGTCATGCATTATCAAAGAGGCATTAATCAGTGGCAAAGAAGTAGCACATCAGTGTGTACATATGGTAGAAATCTTGAGAGGCCATGTATATTTCCTGGTAAATTGGAAATATTTGTTCCATGAATTGTTTTTCGTGTCTACAAGACTGTCCAGTAAAAAATGAAATATTTTTTTCACTCTTAAATAGATGTGGATTTTAATTTAAATGAAATAGTAAGTGTTCCCATGCTTACTGATTTTTTTCCTTGCATGAGCTAGTAAGGTTGAGTACTACTACTTTAATGAAAGATAAAATACTGTTAAGCAGCTGAGTGAGGTAAAATAAGTGATATAGCAATTAAAAATACTAAACATATAGAAATGTATTTTCTTCTGCTTTTAAGACTGAGCTAAATTAATTTTAAAAATCTGGTTTTGACAGAATATGATTAAAAAATATGTCTTCATTATTCTTAATTAAAGGATGGGGGAATTTTCATCATCATCTTTCAGATCTAGGAAACTTACTCCACAGAAAAAGCATATATGTTCAACATATTCAAGAAGGTGTTCAATATGTATGTTACCACCAAGGAACTTGCAAATGTGGACCAAGGTTTTGTATAAGCACCCTACAGGAGGTGATGTTATTTCCGTAATTAAATCTAAATTTTCTGACAGCACTAAGGCTTTTGTACCTTTCTGTCTCACACCTGGTGGCTACCCACAAAACTTGAGCAGAATGATTTCAGGTCCATCTGTAACCAGGACAGTCTGTGAAACTGAATGGACAATGTCAGGCTTAGACAAGTAATTAGAAGCACTAGCCCTGTGACTATGGCAAAGTTACACTACATCTTTCATAAATATTAAGAAAAAATAATGGTGTTTTTCAATCTGTGGAAACAACTAGGTCTGAAGTTGCATGGAAAAATGTAATGCCACACAGAGATGAAAGATTCCTTTGTTATATTAACATCTGCAAAATAAATGCAGGTCATCAATATTCTTTGTTTCGCATTTGGCTACATTAAAAAATGATGTATTATGTAATTATTATCTAAAATTAAATGACAAAATGGGACACTGGGAACATCAAACTTCAGCACAGTCTCAGAGCATTAATTTTATATCAGCCTTTCTCGAAACATATGTTATTAACTGGCTGACAACTTTGTCAGTGTAAAATTATCCTGTATTGATACAGTGAGCTGTAGCTCATTTGCTGTTAGTTGTTGTCAAAGTTCATTTGTGTACAAGTCAGTTGCAGGAAAAAGACCCATAGGGACTTCAGTTCTTCTATCATGTAACAGGCAGAAAAGTACATCTTTCTATAGTCATGAGATGAGAATTTCCGTGATTAAAAGTGAATATCTTGTGTTTAATTCATGATTAACTGACTTCAGTTTTTATATTTTAGAATTGTATATGAAACAAAACAGAAAGAGAGAGAATAGAGATGGGAGTTCTGAGACCACATTTAGTCATTTAAAATTGAATTTGGAAAGGAATCTGTGTATCTCATTTACTATTATTGAACTAAATAAAGCATGATGATTCACTAAAATGAAATCCAAGTCTGTTTGTCATTGGACACAGAAAGATACATGAAATAGCAAGTGATCAAGTGTCTACTACTCAGCTCTACTCATTTATATATATATATATACTTTTAAAAATCAATCTTTTTTTCCACTGTGATTTGAGCACTTAGAACTACTCTAAGTAGAAAATATTTTCATGGTATTGTGGCAAAAATAACTGAGTGCTGCCTGTGGTAACATCTATTTTACTGCTGTCATTGATATGGAAGCATTAACACTGAAAAATGAGTGTTAACATCATTATCCTTTCAACTTTGATGTCCTTGTATAACTTGAGTCATACATGTTGTCCCATTGAAATAAAAAATGTAGTGAGGCAGCTTGGCTGAATTCTTGACTAGATCTGCAGGCAAAGTTAAATAAGGTGATGAATGTCCCTGATAGCTCAGCTCTTGGAGGGTATTTTTCTGCTGTGGAGTTGCCTGTATCAATTTTGTTGTTGTTGTTGCTTCTTTATCAAATGTGAAAAACCAAAACCCAAACTCTTCCCTTTTTATGAGCTGCCTAGACTAGCTAGTGCTATCTAACTGAGCTTTATCCTAAGCTGTAGAAGTTAATGCTTTAATTCTAGATAATCAGAATCAGCTAAAATAACCAGCATTTTTTTCTTTTATTTTTGCAAATTATTCTATCTTCAAAACTTATGTTAAATAATTGGTGTGGGTTTTTTTTTTTTTTTTTTTTTTTTTTGTTTCTGTGTGTGGTTGTTTGATTTGTTTTTCTTCTAAATATGCATAATCTATTTCTGGAGTGCAGATTGATGGCAACCTTGGTTCTTTTCTTTGGTCCGATTTCAATAATGGGCAATTATCCAGTTGTCTGCAGTCATGAAGGAGTGTTATTTTGAGTTATCAATATTTGAATTGTAACAGAAAGCGTAAGATGCACTTGAATCCTGTTTGCGAGCAGTTTACAAAAGGCACTATACTGAAGTGCAAAAATCACCTCAAAATATGCTTGTGCAATGTAAATGGATTGGTAGATACAGTCCTGCCGTCACAAGTTGTTTTGACAGGCCGAGAGTGAGATTTGGAAAAATGAATTGATGAATTCATGATGAATACAGTTTTTGGAATTGTTAGCAAAAATAAATTTTTAGGCCTATCTATTTTCAAAACTTTAAAAAATATTTTTCAAATTTTAAAGGAATAAGGTACTTCTTATTTGGAAAGAATTGCCTTAATGCTTATGAAAAAGAGAATAACATTCTAGATTAATCTTTACACTGATTATCCACTTGCTCTATGTTCTGAGGGTTTATAGTATTATTTCTAGTTGACTATTTTATGATGGGCTATTACATACTCATGGATAATTTACATAAGAGCAGACAGTTGTAAGTACTTCTGAATCTTTTTTCTTCGACATATTTAGGAAATATTAGGAGCAGAAAAGGAAAAGATTAGGTGTACTTAAACGTTATTAAATGTCAGATTTCTTTCCTACTTTTTACAGGAGAATTAATTGTGTATGTTCCAGAAAAAGCTTATCTTTGCGATAATTACTCTGTGAATCAGTTCCACAAGGCAGACACAAAGTGCGAAAGTGGCAATATCCTATGGCACACAATGGGGATTAGCCTCTGGTTCCTCATCTATGTCAGTCCCTTGATGAGAAGCTGCCAGTAAGATAGCATCTTTAATATTCCTTGGCACTTGAGAAGATGATTCTGCATATTAGTTTAAGTCCTTATCACAAACCATTGTCATATTGTGGTGCTTGGCATAGATAAATGATTATGTCATCAGCATAGAATAGTGTCTTGCTAGTCTGGCTGAAATGCTGCTCTCCCAATATTTCATAAAAATGATTTTGCAGAAAAGAGCAAATCTGTAATAGAGAAATTTCCCAAGTCTCCCCCAGACACAATGCTGAAACTTTCTTTCCTTTGGTAATAATGCACCACATGTGCTTGTCTTCAGCACCAGTGTCATTCATAGAATGATGATTGTGAGACATGTAGTATTATACTGATGGATCTTTAAGTGAAAGGAGGCAAACATAACTTACTTGACTCTGAAATCTCTGAAAACTTCAGCTTTTGTAGGTCTTAGTTCTGCTTTTCCGCTTATTTTTTTTTTTTTAAACTAATTTTCATTAATCAGCTTTTAACTCAAAGGAAAATATCAAGATAAATCAAAACACATAGCTACAATTAATTTTAGGACAAATTGAAATGGCAGCTTCTTGGAAACATGGTGGAAAGGAAAACTTTGTGTTGCACTTGATCACTGTTGTGTATTCCATGGTGTGAAAGGACAATGTTTCATACTTCTGACTTTTTGTCTTTGGAATTTTACACATTCAGATTTCACTTTAAATGAATGATGAATATTAGATTATAATTCCTATGTAGTGTCTGTCCTATGCCAAGGTTATGTCACAGTCCAGTGATCTTTAAGCTCTGTGCAGCTGAGCAACTGTACCTCACCTGAGGAACCAGATGGGGGCAATCCTCACCAAAGGAGCTGTGGTGGTGCAAGGCTGGATTTGTACCAAAGCTCACAGGGTAACTGAGGTAAATCTACGTTGTTAGAAATGCTAGGAATGAAGGACATGAGGTCAGCAAAACCTCAAGTGTGATTTTTATATAGTTTTGATTACTTAATTGCCTTGATTTTTTTTGTTTTTTTAATCTATGTGAAAGACAGATGACAAGCATCGTGTGATATCACACATCCATGCTGTCTCTACTATTCAGTCTGCTTCTTGGTAGTTACTTACCGCTACAGAATGACGAACATTTTGTTTCCTGAGCTGCCAAATGTGGAAATGTACTTAAAATATTTTTCCTGATACAATCTCAAAACATTACATTGTTTAGTTTACATGAATATGACCATAAGATATAACTTTCTCTTGGTATCATGTATTGACATAATACCGAGTCATATATATTTATAAAAGAATGAAGAGACAGGTAGTGCTGCTTAAAAGCAAATACACATATGCTGGAAAGCTTGTTTTGCTTCTTAAGATCAGCAGTTTAGTTTGTATGTTAGCAGTTTCAGTATGTTCCTAAAGGCATTTGTGTGACACATTTTTACTGCAGTCATCTGATGTGGATGAGTTTCAGATTAATAAACGTTTTATCTTCGGTGCTGCACAGCAATGCTTAATGAATCAACCAGGACTGCTGTTCTTCCAATAATTAATTTTCTGTTTGAGGAAATATTTTTGCTTTTG